CTTGCATGCATAACAGGCCTCCCTTGTAAATCGCTATCTACGGTTGTCATCAGTCCACACAGCTCCAAGACCAGCTGTTCGCACTGTCCAGACAGAAGGGTAATCTGTGGCCTGCCGTCCAACCGTGGGATAAGTGCAAGTCGTGAGATAAGATCAGTTTACAAATTTGTGAAATTTTAATATAAATTGTTTATTTATATACTTATCCTATCTCACGCGATGGATGCCCGCCCGGCCTCCCCACTACTCAGATTACAGCGTTGGCTCCATGATGAGAATGATCATTCAAGGTAGTCACGTGGGCAATTAGTGGAGCATGCTGCAAGCTTTATTAGGAACTAGGAAGCTAATTAAAGAGGGCAGCATGGAGTGCACGGGCGAATGAACAAAGAGGCCTATGGAAAAAAGTTTACAGTCGTTCCACTAAAAGTCGAAGCAAGAGAGAGAGGTGCAAGTCGTGAGATAGGATAAGTATATAAATATACAATTTATATTAATATTTCCAATTTTGTCCAAAAACATATTTTTTCAAGCTGAGGAGGTCCATTAACTATTCATCTCTATGATCATATAAACCATTTCGTGCGGAAATTGATAGTTTTTGAAATAATTAGAAAAATGTTCAAATATTGCCCGATCGGCCTATAGCAAAATAGGCAGAACGGCCTATAATATCCTGTTCTGCTTATTATAGGCCGATCGGTAGGTTTCCCCAACCTGATGGGCTAAGCAGTCCAGGAGGAGAATGTCAAAAGGGGCCTAGAAAAAGGATTTCGTAGCCTCCCAGTACTGATTTTGTTCACTATTTTCAGTTAGGATGATATCTTGGGCTCATGAAATGGCCTGTAATACTATGAGATTGTGGTATCAGTTTTTTTACAGGCCAGTATATGTGGTGGGTGTCCGAGTAGTTTTGTAACATTTGGTTTGCTGCCCGACAACACCTCAAAGTTAATCATGGACAGTTTTACTACTATCAATCTGATCACTTTCATTTTGACTTCTGTGTATTGCTTAAGTATATAGAAATTATTTGACATATTTTTTGTTTTTGAAAGAAAATCAAAATGACCGCTATTTCATTTGTCGCATTTTGTCTTCTCAGCGTAAATTTACATAAACATATCCACTGAATGTTTCCATTTATGTCCAAAGTTGATACTTTTGATGTTTTTGTTTACACTTGTCTCTCCTAGAGTGATAGCTTGGGCACAAAACAATTGGTTTTATATGGTCATATCGTGGTAATATAATGTTTTACAGCTTATTCTTTGAGACGGGTATTTTAGCATTTCTCCGACTTTTCTTGGAAATGTGTGGTGGTGATTTATTTATTGAAAGTTAACATTAGTTTTGTAACTAAAACAAGTTGTTTTTGTTTCCTCTTTACTTCTAGAGTGACGGCATGTTAATAGGAATATTACCCAAAATTTAAAATGGCCGCCATTGTAGTTTTACTGCATACACATAGTGGAGGACTAAATTTGTACTGATATAAAAACCAAACAATTCATTTGGTGTCAAATGTTTAATATAGTGTTGGAATAGAACTAAATTATAATGATATGGTCAATGAAAGCTTCACAATCCTAAAATATTTGATGAAATAACATTATCCAAAAGTGTTTGAAAACTATGCTACGTGGCCGATAACTGCGTACTAAGATCTGGTTGTAGCTATTCATATTGTTCTATCAGATAACTCTTAATCACTTTTGATACATTCAGAAACTTACAATTAACCCTCCTTGTCACTTTCTTTCATATTACGTTACTTCATGTCAGAATCGGAGTCATCTCCTGGCAACAAGTCAAAGGTGTTCTGACAACAATCACCTGCCATACAAACACATGCCTCTGTGCACACTAGATCATTTTGTCTGCATTGACATAGATCTCTCTGCTGGCATGCTGACTTTTTGCATTTTCACAATGTCAGTTCAACCAATCCACGGGAGCAGGATCTCTCGACATCAGAATAGGGATAAGCTGACCATCACAAATGCTCCAACCATGGTCAACTTGAAGACAAGGTTACTAGGCAAAACTGTTTTAATTCACTGCTCTTTCAACAAACATGGGTTACTGGTAAAATGTAATGTTTTAGAATGAGCATGGACAGGAAGATAAGGTTATATGGAAAACTAAGAATTGAAGAACTTAAAGGTCACATGCAACCAAAAACTCAAACATAATTAAAACACAATTATCACTTATTCATGACATATAATATACTTTGCTGGTTACGAAAAAATATATAAACAAAATTATAAGCGTACAATCGCAAATCAAAAGTGCAATATTGTGTACTTCGGTTTACTTCCCAAGAAACGAAGCAGCCGGGATACCGAACCCAGTCAGAGCGGGTGGGTGTGCACTCAAGTGTAACGACTGGTTCATTTGCAGATGCCTTCACGGCTAATTGTGTGTATATATATAGAGAGATGTTGGGTTTTGTAAATACATGCTCATTTTTGTGTATAACATTTTGCAATCAACAGACATCATAACATGTCATGTGTTCAAGTATCACACCTGCCTGTCTGTGTAATTACATAATGTGCAGAGACCGAACTCGGGCCATAAATCAATGCATTTTGTTTATGGTGTATAGCCTGATTGGTGTTAAGTTCAAATTGCATGTGGTCAGTGATAGCAGCTGTGTATTGAATATTGTCATTAGCAGACAGGCAGGCAGACACACAGGTGTCAATAAAACAAGACATTGAGTTTTGTCTGTGACAACGACATATCTATATCACAGTTAGAAATTCTGTCAACGCTAAATAATGACATTGCTTTTTAAGTATCGAACTGAGAAAGTGTCTCGTAAGAAGAACGCGGTGGTGAAATAGACAAATGAAATTATATAAACAGTTAATTTACTGTCATAACATATAAAAGCTTCGCCTGTGAGATATCAACAAAACATTAGAAAAATAGCTCACACCAAAGCCTTCACCGAAAGTATTCACCCGACAACCCGGCTTCCAAGCTGCTAACCTATTTACTTGGCGCACTTGCTATGAGCGCAGCCCAGCTGTTGAAACCCGTTTTCCCCATAAAAAAGTCTGGGGAAAATTAGTGAAACGTTTGAACTCCGATTTCGCACATTTTTTTTCATCGCGTTATTTTTCAACTTTATAAGTTGAATTTGCATTTTTGACGATTTGTTTCGGTATGTCCATACCGAAAGGTATCAGAATCTGCAAAGTTGTGTTTTACGTTGCATGTGACCTTTAAAACTGTAACTTAAGAGTGGAAAATGATTTGGTGTAAGGAAATGAAACCGGATTTAATAAAGAAATAATGTCATTCAGAACACAACTGGTGAAGTAGTGTTCTTGATTGGTTGCAGAAAGTGTTTCCAAACATGCACTTGGTAGTTTATTCGCTCAGTGTGATGGTTTAGACTGCTGGATGTAGGTGGGAGGTTTTCATTTAATATCTTGTCCCATCTAGAGACATCACTGGATTATTTGGTACATACATAGAACTCACAAACTGGCAACAAGATGTAATGAGCGTTTCTTGAACAATCTGAGAGTATTACAGGCCATTTCATGAGCCAAAGACATCAAACTAACTGAAAATAGAGTCAAACAAAATCAGTACTGGGGAGGCTACAATTTCAAATTTTTCAGCTGCCTCCTCCTAGACTAAAATGACTCTCAGTAATGATCAGGAACAGACAGGCCCTCTCATAATAATTGTCATTCAACTGCTCTGCATCGAAACATCTACACAATAAATAAGTTTGGTCCGCAATTATTTTACAGTTATATAAATGTATTTCAATCTCTTTGCAGGGATAATAAAGTTACATATAACATATTATACCTATCATATATATTTCTTGTTATATATGTTTCTATTCACGTCCATGATTAATTGTTAATCTATCCTGGATTACTAACAGAAAACTATGAAATTCTTGATGCTACAGATGAACCTTATCAAGTTTGTGTCATCATGTCTGGTGATAGTCCATTATAGTTCTGTACATAGTAATAGTAATAGTCGCTTATATGGCACTCATATCCAGGCACATTGCCTGCTCACGGCGCTACGTACATTACTATCGGTCATACCTTTTCAACTCCCTGGGACCGCCACTTTCCGATACCATTTTTCAACTCCCTACAGGGGATCATACAGCCATGCTGCCTGATACTTCGCAAATGGCTTAATGAACTTAACACTTACATTGCCAGCACATCCTCACGGGTACCCACAGCTGGGTGGAATTGACACAGTGTGAATCTAAAGTACCTTTGTCCATGGATACTCAACCAAATAAACAACAGCACGCAGAATGCTTGCAGAGGGCGGGAGCCACCCACCTTGGGGATTGAACCCGGACCTTCAGCATGATAGGCAGATGCCTTACAGATGCCTTTAGTAGTGGTCCGATTAATTGAAATAATCGAAGATTGGTCACAATGACTAAACGACCAAGCAATCGATCATGTATTCTAATAATCGAACACAAAAAACTTTGGAACATTTTTTAGCTGTAACTATATTGTTCACAGGGTTGTGTTTTTCTGTTACATTTCATAAGCACTACCAGCTCGTTCCAAGTCAGGATTGGATTTATCTTAAGATTCCAGGCATTTATGTTTCTGACATACTAGTCATATTTGCAAATGCATTTTGTGCAATTTGCAAAAAAATTTAAAAAAAACTACTTGTTTTTTTCTCTTTTTTGTGTGCATTAACAAACATAACCAAGAAATTTTGATAAAAAACGCCAACCAATTATTTTCGATGATTGATTGGTTATATTGAACCAATCATCAATTATGAGATTTTAACCAATTCCCAACACTACTTACCACTGCTCCACTGCGCTGTACATAATATGACCTTGAGAATTGCGATTCTCATTTCTGTTTACATCATAATTTCCAAAACTGATGCATGTAATAACCATTTCCAGTTTCACTAATATAATAATAAGGAACAATTCTTATGTTGTTGTTTTCTTTCATTTTCAGATCAATTACAGTATGGGTTTGATTCCAGTAAATGTGTGAGAGCCAGTTTTGCTGAAAGCACGAACTACAATAGTAATGGCTGAAGGAAGTGCCTCATCCTCTAACCGTCACTCCAGAATAAAACTTGAGTGTGAAATATGCCACAAGGTGTTTTATCGCCATGATGTTTTCAGATGTCACATGAGGATACACTCTGGGATCAAGCCCTACTCTTGTGATGTATGTGGGAAGAGATTCGCTCACTATGGCAACCGTGATCAGCATGCAGCAATTCATGCGTCATCAGCAACCTTCGTGTGTGAGCTGTGTGGAAATACCTTGACCTCACAGATCTATTTGAATCGACACATTAAGAGACATCACCCCACCCATTACACACCATGTAAAAGAGGCCAGGTGCAACCAGAAAGAAGATGCTCAACAACATTTTTTAAACAAAAATTTTCAGATGTGCCCAAACAAACAGATTCTCAAAATGTAGTGGAATCAGATGAGGTTAGAATATACCTCCCACCAACATTTGCTGAATCGGAAAAAAAGGATTCAAGTCTGGATTGTACAAATCAGCCATATAATGGTGAAGGTGCAATGTTTCATCTGTTGTGTAAATACTGTGGCCAGCAGTTTGAACAAAGACACAAGTATCAACTCCATATCATGGAGCATGAGCTGGAGGAACTAGGAAAGTCTTGTAGTTTCTGTAATATATTATGTAGTAATCTAGCTGAGAAACGAATACATGAACTGTCCCATACTGAGAAAGAAAGAAACAGTAACGGGTCATTTCAGCCCAAACACGTTCACCCCAGCACAGTTTCACCCCAAGTCATTTCACCCGGGTCATTTCACCCCAAACACGTTCACCCCACCACAGTTTCACCCCAAGTCATTTCACCCGGGTTATATCACCCCAAACACGTTCACCCTACCACAGTTTCACCCCAAGTCATTTCACCCGGGTTGTATCACCCCATTTAGAGGTTGTTTCACCCCAACAAAAATATATTATAGTTATCAACTATAGAGCTTTTCAATAGTTTATTCATCTATGTATAGTGTCGAAACGGTATATTCGGATTGTTTGAATAACTATATCCGTTCATATTGGCTGTGTTGGATCGGGTGATGGCCTTCAGTGACAATAGCAAGTAGCTGCTTAAGACTATTTTTATTAGGACATGCCTACGTAGCCCAATTTTGTGTTCTTAATACAGGCAATCCCTTTTCTTGAAATGAGTTTTCCCCCAAAAGAATAACATTCGTGATTTAATTTCAATTTCCAGCAGATATCTCCCCAGTTCCTGATAAACCATGAATGAGTGGGTGCTTTTTCTTAATGAGAGGAGTTCCTTTAGAAATTTTAAATGAATATTTTCTACCCAAGAATCATTACCCAAACCCAATAATTCACACCATAAAGAAGAACAGGGGCAACCAAGCAATCGAATAATCGTAACTGACAATCCCAAGACAAATCAAGTAATCTACCTTTGCTTAAAACACTTTTGCTTAGTTTTGGTGGCCTTCTCAGCTAGATTCTTTCTAATTCAGGTGACGCAGACACAGTAGCATTTACCTGGTTGTTGTAAAACCATTGCCCAATTAGGCTTTAAGCATTTATACCATTCTCCATGTTTACTCAATTAGTTTGACCGCCTCCGTGGTTAGAGCGTCCGCCCGGAGAGCGGAAGGTCGCGGGTTCGATCCCTGACCGTGTCATACCAAAAGACGTTAAAATAAGGTACTTGTTGGTCCCTGCCTGGTGCTCAGCATTAATGGGTATAACAAGGACTGGTCGGCTCAGAGTCAGTATAATGTGTCTGAGTGGGGTATTCATGCTTCACTGTGGCATGGTATCTCAGTGGCTAGCACTATAAAACCAGCTTCAGTCTGGGCTAGTACAAGCAGCCGCACATACACATACACACGCATGCATGTCGTCATATGAGCGAAATATTCTCAAAGCACGACGTTAAACCCAATTTCACCTCACCTCACCTCCATTAGTTGAGGTGAAACAACTTTTGATTAGGGGTGAAACGACCCCTAATGTTGGATGAATTGATCTAGTTTAGAATTGATCTAGTTTAGAATTGATCTAGTTTAGAATTGGTATGAAACAACCCGGGTGAAAAGACTTGGTGAAACAACCCAGAACGGAAAGAAACATATCTAAACATAAGTCAGCCCATAAAACCAGAGAAACATGTGCCTGAGAAGGAACCCTCTGAACTACCTCCAGTCCCAATTCCAACAGGTTTATCTGCTGAAGGGATGCCCATGGTTGGACTTGTTCGTCACTCTTCAGGCCGTTCATACCAACAACAGACCAACATCTCTCTGTGATTGTCATCAACAAGCAAACTTCAGAATGAATGTGAACATTTTTTGTCCAAGTGTGAAAGTGGAATCCTCACCTGATGACAATAATGCTGACAAACTTTGAAAGACGTTTTTGATATGACTGATATGCCTTGTTCTAGTGGTGTATATGTGTGTCAGTAGAGCACATGACTACATTCAGTGTCATATCTTACTTTCCTATATGATTACTGGTCACATGCCAAGTACATTTTCACTTGGCCAATATTTATAGCAGTTAGCCTAACTTCCCTGATTCTGTTTCGTGTTCCCTGAGGCCTGTCCAGCTTCAGGGCAATCATGTATACACATGTTAGTCTCATGTATACACATGTTAGTCTCTCATGTATACACATGTTAGTCTCATGTATACACATGTTAGTCTCATGTATACACATGTTAGTCTCTCATGTAGACACATGTTAGTCTCTCATGTAGACACATGTTAGTCTCATGTATACACATGTTAGTCTCATGTATACACATGTTAGTCTCTCATGTATACACATGTTAGTCTCATGTATACACATGTTAGTCTCATGTAGACACATGTTAGTCTCTCATGTATACACATGTTAGTCTCATGTATACACATGTTAGTCTCATGTAGTCTCCCACACATGTTAGTCTCATGTATACACATGTTAGTCTCTGTATACACATGTTAGTCTCTCATGTATACACATGTTAGTCTCATGTTTACACATGTTAGTCTCATGTAGACACATGTTAGTCTCTCATGTATACACATGTTAGTCTCATGTAGACACATGTTAGTCTCATGTAGACACATGTTAGTCTCTCATGTATACACATGTTAGTCAGTGCTGTATGCTTGCCCATGTGTTTGCTAGTGTTTGAGTTACCAGAGAATTCATGTGTGCAAATTTTGTAACAGTTGTTGGATGATGATATAAGAGTGACAGTTATCAGCTGGGAATTATCTAAGATTTTATACCAAGTCGACAAGTAGGGATGTACTGTTTTAGTAAGTCTTTACTTTCTTGAATTCAAGGGTATTCTGATAATAAATTCAGTGTAAAACCAAAATGTTAATGTCATGTTCTCTTAGTCCTGCTTTCAGTTTTATACAACTCACATCTGTAGATATAACTCATCACATTTTAGTTATGTATTTTACATTATATCTTGTGGACATTTTGTACTGTATTTTGTAGTGGGACTGATGTAGTTTACTAGTTTCAATGTTTTACAAGTTGAAGTCAGACATGTTGTGCATACCTCTTTCATGTCAGGAAAGTTGTTTTTTCGTTTTCATATACAGTAGAATACTTTTATAACGAAACACGGATATAACGAACTGACTGCTATAGCGAATGTTTTACAATTCCCGAATAAACCTTATATTATCATATAAAACATTGGATAGCGAACTACGGATATTATCGAACTAATTTCAGTGGTCCCTAAGAGTTCGTTATAAAAGTATTTTACTGTATACATATGGAAATTAACTAAGCAGCACCCATATTTTTAAGCAACTCTAGAACCTAGGCCCTTATTCTCGAAATGTTTGTAGCCCTCAGAATTCTTAACTTTGATCGTAGCCAGTGTGTTAAGAATGGGCTTACAAAGTTCATAGGGCTACGAACGTTTCGAGAATAGCTAGCCAGGTGCATATAATGTGTCAAAGATTTCCATACCATATGAATTCTGCAGTGAAAAGAAAGGGTTGAGGAGAAACATAGCCATGATTACCATGACGATAATGTGGTTTATTGGAAGATTGTTCAGATACAGAACCTTTCATGATTTCATACAAAAAACATTACAAATTTCACTTTTCTTGCACAGACTTAACATGTCACTACCGTGCACACATCTTGTTCACGGAATTGAAGAATGTCTTGCAAGTCCAAACACTGACTTCCTACGAGTATCTTGTGTAACCTTAACGAATAACTGTTTCAAGATGCTTCCTCATTCCTTGGATTAATCCCCAGATTTGATTCTGTGGAATACTGTTCCATTCTTCATGCAAAGCAGCAGTCAATTCATTGAGAGTCAGGACAAGTGGGTCTCTGACTTTAAACATGACAGCCTTAAATGTGTAACAGATGGTCAGTGGGATTGAGATCTGGACTCATGGCTGGCCGTGGGATGCTCTCATCAGCATTCTGTTGCAAGAACTGGGTGACAGCACGTGCTCTGTTGGCCTGACATTATCATCCATAAAGATGGGTCTTGGTTGGTAATGACGTCCATCTTGCAACCTAAGGAAATGCATCCCCATACCATGATTGGCCCAATTCCCAAGGGAACCGTCTCCTGGATATTGTGGAGAACCATAGCCATGTTGATTTGTCTCCAGACACATGTACCACCATCCATTATATGCAATAAGAAATAACTCTCATGGAAAAAGCGAACCCTCCGCCAAGATGCAATGTTCCAGTGAACATGTTGCTTACATCAGGCAAGTCGTACTGCTTTGTGAACTAGAGACAGTTTTATACGTTTGATGGGTCTTCTGGCCCTGTGTCCTGCTGCTTTGTGAACTAGAGACAGTTTTATACGTTTGATGGGTCTTCTGGCCCTGTGTCCTGCTGCTTTGTGAACTAGAGACAGTTTTATACGTTTGATGGGTCTTCTGGCCCTGTGTCCTGCTGCTTTGTGAACTAGAGACAGTTTACGCATTTGATGGGTCTTCTGGCCCTGTGTTGATGGGTCTTCTGGCCCTGTGTCCTGCTGCTTTGTGAACTAGAGACAGTTTTATACGTTTGATGGGTCTTCTGGCCCTGTGTCCTGCTGCTTTGTGAACTGGAGACAGTTTTATACGTTTGATGGGTCTTCTGGCCCTGTGTCCTGCTGCTTTGTGAACTGGGGACAGTGTCATACGTTTGATGGGTCTTCTGGCCCTTGTGTCCTGCTGCTTCCAGAGGATGCCTGACGGTCCTGCAGACAATGTGTCTCATTGGTAACGGCTTTTGCCTTCACGATGTGCTTAAGTACCGTGAACTGCGCCTAACAAGTCTCAACAAGCTTTGTCCTCTCTGATTGTTGTCTGTCGGGTCGTGGAAGATCTCTGACATCATTGGCAGCCCTGTGTTTGTTAATGAGTCTTGAAATGATGGAAGGATTGCACCAAACTTGATGTCCAATTTGTCTGAGGGACATTCCTGCATTTCTCATGCCAATAAGATGCCACCTTGTAGCCTCTGACAATTTACAATGTGCCATGACAGTTATGGTTCTCAATATTCAGTCCAAATTGAAAGGAGAGAATGTGACATGTTGCACGTTCATTGAATATCTCCACAAAAAATCATGGTACACAGCAAGATGCAAAATGTAAATAAATCATTCAGAAACTTGCTGTTTTCTTAATTCACAGAAATATATGTATATGAATTAGGTGTTTCTTAATTAATTTTCATATGTATATACATGTATATGCATCCACATATTTTCTGTATATTTCAGTGTTTCAACCTGTTCTATCTCCGAATGCTTTTTTCTTGTCCGCTCTTTTTGGGTTTTTTAGCTAATACCTCATTTCATCATCCAAATGCATTGTTTTGTTTAAGATTATATGGTTTACATGTCATTTCCAATAATTCAGCAAAGTTTACCTCATTTTATGTTTTCCAAGCTTCTGTCATGGTTGATGTGTACTTGTCCTGTGTGTGGTGATGCTCAGCTGGTATAAGACGCCATGTGTGTCAGGAACCCATGTGTACTTGTCCTGTGTGTGGTCCTGGAGTGGCGAGTGATGCTCAGCTGGTATAAGACGCCATGTGTGTCAGGAACCCATGTGTACTCCTCACCAGCTGATTCCTCATGTTACATCTCCTCAACGTCATTTAGTAAGGGAGATTACTCATATTTTGCCTTAAAATATCAGAGTTACCCTTCTTTGATTTGTTACCTCTATTGGCAATTGTCTAATTTCATCTAGTTACCTGTGTCTGTGTGTCAAATAAATTTCAAAATGAAAAGCAATTGATAGCAAGTTATGTTTATTTTCCTCAAAACACAAATGCCTGACGCGACTCCATTTCCATATCTGCAAATTGGAAAAAGAGTAAGCAGGCTTTGCACCTAAAAATAGCTTTCCCTCTATATTCAGTCATTTGTGAGGTGAAATGGGGTTTAAGGTTGTACTTAAGAATATATTGCTCACATGACAACGTGCATGCATGTGTTTGTTAGGCTGCTTGTACGAGCCCAGACTGAACCTGTTCTTATAGTGCTAGCTTGCTGAGATACCGTGCCGCAGTGAAGCATGAATACCCCACTCAGGCATATTATACTGACTCCGAGCTGACCAGTCCTTATTTTACCCATTCATGCCGAGCACCAGGCAGGG